CCCAACGTTTATGAAGCAAACTACCCTTTATTTTGAACAAGGAATCGCCCCCTGAAGTTTTTCGCATTTGTTTTGAAACACCCTGTATATGACAAACAAATATTTTCATAAAATATTCTTTACCCGAAAAATATTAAGAAAAAGGTCATAAAATGTCCCATACACGCCCTCGCACTTATCAAATTAAGACGCAGCCGAAAACGACCGAGCGCTAAGCCCATCAATCCGGGCATGGCGAAAGAGGCACAGCACTAATAACCCAAAATTGGCGTCGTGGAAGGGAACGCATAAACCCTACGACGAAAATTAGGCATTTTCTTAATAAGTCCAAGGCGAAGCGGGAGGAAAAGTTATCACGCACGCACGACACAAATCTGCGATATTTCCAATCGGGAAAAGCCTGGAGAAAAGCTTTTCGTCGCCCCCAGCGTTTACTCAATTTTTCCTGCTAAATATTCGTTAATCCGAGAAGGTTTTTAAGGTATATTGGAAGGGAGGATGTCGTTTCGGTTCGGTAAGAGCAAGAAATACGATAAAAACTAGGAGAAGTTTGTCAATTTGATAGATACTCTTTTAGAATATACGTTAATACAAAGATTGATGAAAATTTTATTGTATAGAGATGTCCCAGGCTGAGCGTGCATTAGAAGTTTCTAGAGAACCACAATATCTAGATCGGAGATTTTTGCACATCATTGTTTTACAAATAAATAAATAAATGAATGAATGAATGAATGAATGAATGAATGAATGAATGAATGAATGAATGAATGAATGAATGAATGAATGAATGAATGAATGAATGAATGAATGAATGAATGAATGAATGAATGAATGAATGAATAAATGAATGAATGAATGAATGAATGAATGAATGAATGAATGAATGAATGAATGAATGAATGAATGAATGAATGAATGAATGAATGAATGAATGAATGAATGAATGAATGAATGAATGAATGAATGAATGAATGAATGAATGAATGAATGAATGAATGAATGAATGAATGAATGAATGGATGGATGGATGGATGGATGGATGGATGGATGGATGGATGGATGGATGGATGGATGGATGGATGGATGGATGGATGGATGGATGGATGGATGGATGGATGGATGGATGGATGGATGGATGGATGGATGGATGGATGAATAAATAAATAAATAAATGCCTTTATTGTCAAAAAATGTTTCAATTTGTAGACAAAGGTAAACTTAACAAACAAAGTAAAAAAACAAGGTACTCAAACAAACAAACAAAAGATAATACAAAATATTATACAAATAATATTGTCAGTCTTATTGTTAAAATAAACTTTTATAAATGTTTATAATGTCAAAGAACAAAAAAATAAAAATAATATTCAAAAATATTTAGCTAGTTTATAGTAAAATATCAATGACCTCTAAATAAATTCATTTCGATGTCATTAGTAAATATAGCGATAGCAAACATTAGACCAGTGTTTACAAGATCAAATTTAATTTTCAAAATATAATTCATTTACGGCGTAGAAAGCCTTGTCTAGTAAATAAGAGTTCAATGCTTTGCGAAATGAAAAAAATGATGTTATGGATTTGATTTCAAATGGCAGGTGATTGTGCATTTTTTTCGAGTTGTATAATATTGAACTTTTAACTAACTCTGAGCGTGGGGTAGGTAGATAAAGATCTTGCTCCGCGTTCCTGAGTGGATAAGTGTGAGATGGCCTTTCTTGAGAAGCTGATACATGTTTACGTATTAGGCAAACGGATTCAAATATAAATAAGGAAGGAAGAGTCAATATTTTTAATTCTCTAAAAAAGCCCCGGCAATGAGTTCTGCTGTTTAGTCCCAGTGAATATCGAACAGCTCTCTTCTGGAGCTTGAAAATGCGGTCAAATTGAGCCGCACAACACGTACCCCAGAATGGAAGGGCATACCTGAGGTGCGACTCAAAAAGTGCATAATAAACAGTTCTAGCCACTGACAAGTTAAGCTCCTTAGAAACAGACCTTAATGCAAAACAGGCAGAGCTCAATTTTTTCGACAAAGCTTCGATATGTATGTCCCATTTCAGAGAATTGTCCACAACAAGCCCTAAGAATTTTACGGATTTTACGACGTCAATGGTGGTGTTGTCAAGTACAAAAGGCTGCAACGAGTTTTGGAAATGTTGAGACTCAGGAGGTTCGAATCGCACCAAGATTTAATGGTGATTAAGTCATTTGATATAATCCTATGAAGTGCCGTGATGTCCTTGTTGCTCCAAGTGAAGCTAGTGTCGTCCGCAAAAAGACATATTTTGCAAATGATGTTTATGTTAGCAATGTCGTTAATAAAAAGCAGAAACAAAATAGAGCCTAGTACTGAGCCTTGTGGTACTCTACATTCTATTGGCTTGCTAGAAGACAACGTGGTATCCACCCTCACAAGTTGACTTCTGTTGCTCAGATACGACCTGAACCCATAGTGCTGCAGTTTATTAATTAAGATCTTACGATTTACACAATCGAACGCCTTAGAAAAATCACAGAAAATTGTTGCTGTAGAATGATGGTTGTTTATTAAGGAGGGAAAACATAGCGTCATTTGTGGACTTGTTGCTTAGAAATCCAAATTGATATTCAGTAAGTATTTTGTACTTAAACAGAAAAGATACCAGCCTTCTTTTAACCAACCTTTCTATGATCTTAGATAGCGTTGGAAGGACTGCAATTGGGCGATAGTTAGAAGCTTCATCTTTGTCTCCTCCTTTATGCAGAGGAATGATTATTGCCGTCTTAAGCCATTTTGGAAAAATACCATTTTGGAACGACATGTTTATTAAAGTTGTTAGGTGATTCAGAGTTCTTTCTCGCAGATTCGAAAACATTTTTAAAGTCAGCCCGTCGGTCCCAGAAGAGGATTTATTTTTGATGGTATTAATTGTACTGCAAAGCTCTTCTAAAACTACGGGCGAAAAAAGAAACTGTGTAAGTTTACAATATCATTAGAGAAATAAGAAAGTGGATCATGAGAGACCTATCGATCAAAAATATTTTCAATGTGGCGGCAACTTTCTTATTTTAAATGGGTGCCGATTACCAATTAAATGGGTGGTACGATTATTGTTTAAAATTGAAACGAGAATTAAAATATGCAATCATATACAAGGGGGTTTCATTAAAAAAAATAAAGTTTGATGTGACACAACTTTATGACCGACCCTGTATAGTTAAATTTACTAGTAGCTAATAGGAATTTGAAAACCCATTACAACAGTATCACAGTTTCGACAGAATGGTATCATTAAATCAAACCGAAACACATCGAAGTTAATTAAATCCAATTATTGTTTAAGTGTTTTCATGTTTTCAAAAGTCAATAACTCGGAAACGGTTGCTTTGAGGCACATTGTGTGTATTTCGTTTTTTGCTTAGAATTGAAGGAAGAATTGAAATATGTAATAATAAACACAGGGTTCCATTTAAAAAAATTAAACTTTGATGTGCCACGACTTTATGAACGACCCTGTGTACTTAAATTTATTACTCGCTGATAGATATTTAAAAAGCCTATAACTTTTGTATCTAACTTTTTGCGGTACCTCCTATATTTTCCCTAATAATCGACCGTTTCCATACATAAAAGCGATCCTGTATGTCTTCCTTACATACATGTCTTTTACCTGATTAAGAACCTCTATTCGTTTCCTAACATTCCACAATCTCTTTCCCGAAGTTTCGTCTCTTTACCACTCACCCCTTCTCAAGTCTCTTCGAATGAAAAGCAAACTTCTTGAGATTTATGCGTATTCATATCGCCGGCGGTGGGGTCACGCCATTACTAAATCAAGATGAAAGGCCGGACCGTATGCAAGTCCTCTGGACCGGAGCCGCATACATACGTTTCATGTATCTTTAATGGGCTCGGGAAGGCTTTTGTGGCCAGTGGCTCGGTGCTCCTTGCCAAGTTTTCGCTCTAAGATTATGGAGATTTAATCAGCGGTATTTGTGGAAGAAAAATATTTCCTAGGGATCTGCCTCTAGGAAAGCGAAATTCTATTAAGACTAATAGAATTTATGTTTTCTACTACATGAAATATTTTATATAATTTCCTTTAACGATGTTTTAAAATTTTGGAACTAACTTAAATAATATAATACAGGGGCGAACTAAAAATCTCTACGAGCAACCCTCCTCAAGATATTTAGACTGAAAGCAGCCAATACATGTCATTATTGACAAAAAATAAACATGTTGAGTAGATAGTTATTTAACTGAAATCATAAATTTGAAAACTTTTTATTTTTTAAATTAATCTTAAATTTTTCTTCGAAAAATTGATGATAAAACAGTTTCTGTTGACACAAAATCATGTCAAATTTATGAGATCAGTCTAATAGCTATTAAGCAACATGTTTCATGTCAATGATGTGCAACCCTGCTTTACTCCTGTCCCTAAGTTAGTTAAAACTGTCGCTGGTTCTACCGTTGTGCAGCACATTGCATTCTGTGTTTCTGTAGAGTTCCTTGATTATATTAATTAGTTTTTCCGGAACACCTTTTTCTTTTAGAGTTTTCCATACCATCGCATGGGGGATACTGTCAAAAGCTTTGACGAAATCTATGAATAATAAGAATAAAGGTGACCTAAGTTCTATTGACAGCTCTATGATAATGCGCAATGTGTTAATATGGTCAATGCACGAGTGGTTCGGTCGGAAACCAGCTTGGTTCTCTCTCAGAGTAGGCTCTATATAGGAGTTTAACCTTGAAATGAACTATAGAGGATATTATCTTGTGAATGGTGTTTAACAAAACAATACCTCTCCAGTTGTCACAGTTAGTGGTATCTCCTTTTTTAGGGAGTTTAATAATATCATCGCCGCTTTTATTTAATATCGTGCTCGACAGCGTTTTGACTAAAGCCACAGCAAACATTAGGGGAGTACAATGGACTCTGACATCGCATCTGACGGATCTTGATTATGCTGATGATATCTGTCTCACAACGCAATCCTTCAAAGACATGGAAATAATGCTCAGACGTCTAAAAACAGAGGCAGACAAAGTAGGATTATGCATAAACATTGACAAAACAAAGTCAATGCGCATTAACACACACAATAACACTCCATTCAATGTAGGAATCAAACATGTCGAGAATGTAACAGAGTTTACTTACCTGGGAAGTATTGTAACAGCAAATGGTGGCGCAGGCGCGGATATTGTCATCAGGAAGGCGCAGCGAGCCTTTGGCCAACTAAAATCAGTTTGGACCTCCCGTCAACTCTCCATACAAACAAAATTAAGAATATTCAGTTCCAATGTCATACCAGTTTTATTATATGGCTGCGAGACATGGAGAGTGACAAAAATATCCATCAACCGTCCACAGGTATTTATCAATCGCTGCTTGCGGAAAATACTTAAAATCTTTTGGCTAGACACTATACGTAACACCGACCTGCTTCATCTTACAAACCAACAAGAAGTAGGCATTGAAATCCGCAAAAGAAAATGAGGTTGGATAGGTCACACTTTGCGGAAACCTGATAGTAATATAGTGAGATCAGCGTTGGAGTGGAATCCCCAAGGAAAAAGAAAGCAAGGACGACCTGCTCAAACATGGAGACGTTCCATACTGGATGAGCTTCAACAAGTAGGGTCAACATGGAAGGAAACAAAAACAACTGCCAAAAACAGAACCCGATGGAGAGCTTTCACTGAAGCCCTTTGCTCCGCGTAGGAGATAGGATCCTATAGGATCCTATATATATATATATATATATATATATATATATATATATATATATATATATATATATATATATTATGTCAATGATGACGGGTATTGATAATTTTGATTCAAAATATCTGGAGAACCATTACTCGTAGCTATTTTTACCAAGAGACCTTTTTTACGTAAAAAACGTCGTAAATATAAATTTTTTTATTCAGTAGTTTTATGCAGGTACGGACAAAAAGTTATTACCCTTCAAACTATTTAAAAAATATGTAAGTGGCGTCCTCTACAAGTAGGAGTCATAATGACATCAAAATCAAATTTTTCATATCAAAAAACTTCCAGACGCCAATTTTCATCCAAATATTGACGTTACTTCAGAAATTATTTAAAAAAAATCGAAATAAAAATGAATCTTCTACACCCTGTATCTCCGAAACTAAGCATTTTAGGACATACATTTATACGAACTTTTTTACTGATTTTTATTTGCAGAATTTGCTGCCAAAGTTACCGGAATACAGTTCAGACCACCTTGTATTTTATATTTTATGTTATTTACCGACTAGAAAATGACCTCGTCAAAATTATTATCGATTGTGCTTTCTGTCCGGCTTTGACGCTTTTTTTTGCGGCCATACTCATATTTTTGCTTCTGGTAAAATAATTGGCTGCTATCTGCGGTTAAAAATGACAAATGATATTCCTAGATGGTTGAAAATGTGTACACTTGCGTAAAAATAAAAAATAAAAAACTTTTCCAAATACTTCTTTCAAAATTCGACCAAAATAAGGAAAATACCTTAGAAAATAGATTAAATTTTATTTGTCAGTAATCTATTTCAAAGCAAAATCTAACGCAAAAGTTTAACAAACATACTTATAGGAGGCAGACATTATTTGGCACAGTGTATGTCGTGCAATAATATTTTATGTCAATTGGTTGTCTTAAACTGGCCTATATTAAGTTATTAATATATAAAAATTATATAAACTTCTTTAGAAAAATAATTTTGTCTATACATTTATATTTTCATAATTTTCTTGATTCTGATACACGATTCTTTTTTTTTAATAATTTTTTTTAATTACTTTAATAATTACAATACATTACCAATTAACTCAAAACCCACAATTTTGACTACCGCCTGTCAATTTACACGCACCGTACTCTTCTTAAAAACCCTCGAACTGGGGGAGAGGGGTGTAAAAGGGCCCAGATGCCACGACGACCGTTATTAATGAAATCGGTCGTGGAAGTGGGCGCACCAGCGGAGCCCTACTGCCTCGATTTCCCGCAAAAAATTAGCTTTTTTCTGCCTACGTCACGCCGGGGGGAAATGGAAAAGACTTAAGAGCTGCGAAAAAACGGGCCTGAAATGAGCTCGGGGCAAATCAACCGTTAAAATGTTATTTTATAGGTTATTTAACCGGAGTGGATTGAGAAACGTTTAAGGTTCGAGAGGGTTTTTGTTTGAGTTACTTGTTAAATAGAACAGGACGGTGTTGATAATTATGGAAAAATATCTGACAAAGGATATTTTAAAAATACAGGATGTCCCAATATTTCGTGGACATAGAAGAGTCAAGTCATTTGGAAAGGAAGGAAAGTTGTAGTCATTTCCAGTGAAACAGGAAGTGACCGAGAACCATTGAATACGTCAATCAATCCTAACTTATGTCGTATACTAACAAACCAAATCTTGTTTTTTTATCTGAAAAAATAAGAAAGTTATAGGGGTGAGCCACTTTTGAGAAACACTCGGTATATTGTTACACACAATTTCTACATCTGTAATGAATAATAACACTAAAAATATCATTAAATTACACTGCACAATTGAAAGAAAATGTTCTTTTCTTGGATTTACCGTTTGATAGCGCTAAACGACTTCCAGTCGCTCCCTTTTTTATTTACATGTCCTTATCCCCGATAAGTATCGGCATAAAGTAGACTGCAAATAAAATAAAAAGACTTACGGGTATCCGATCTTCCCCTCGGCATCATAAATCTTCTCCAACATAACAATCACAGGTAATAATGTCATAAAACAGCGCCGGAATCCGCTACTTCGTGAAGCTAGCTGGCAATTCAAGCAAATAAAGAAGAATAAATGAGAGAGTGGATAGAAGAATTTACAATAAATAAGAAGAAACTTTGTTTTTATTAAGTAACTAGAGATTTATAAAATCTATTTCGCTTATTTCCTTATTTTGAATCAAAGTCTTTGATGTTACAGAGAAAATACACACTATTTTTAAGATACTACAAAAAACATTTTTTATTTATTTTGTGAAAAGAGTGAGAATCGCAAGAGAAGAATTGAGAATCAGATACAGCGAGGTTGTGAAAAAGCTTAATTTAAACATTTCGTTATATTTCCAGGTAAAATTGCTTAACTATGTTTGCATCATCTAAAGGTACTTTAAAAGTCTCTTAAACGTTGAAGTAAAACTTTTTTCTAGCGTCAGAAAACGTGGTAACGGCAGTGTTGCCAGAGTTACCCGTTCGAGGTAGATCTACCCCTTTGTAAAACAATTTAACTCGATATCGGTAACGATCTGCGGCTAAGAAAATCACTATAATAAACTTGATATGTACCTGTGTACCAATATCCTATAGTTGTATATCCAGGAGCAACCCAACGTTGCCGGACAACGTCGAAGTGACGTCTAAGCGACCCACGGGTCGCTACAACGTCGCCGTCGACGTTGCTTGAAGCGACGTAGTACGTCGTGTGCTAAAAGTTGTTTTTCATGCCGATTCGCGATATTTTGAGGTTAGAGTTAAAAATATTCGTCGTCAAATATTACTATATTCAACCATGGGGAAACCAAAACAATGCAAATGGTGACGGCTTAATTAGAAATGGAATATATTATGCTCCATTAAGAAATAACTAGGTGAATTTAACTTCGACAAATCTGTAAAGTTTTGAGATATCGGTAATCAAAATTGTCATCAACGAAGATTAGTTTACAGTTGAAAGTGACCATGATACTTCGAAATATGGCAAAACCCCTTTTTTATTTCGTAGTTTTAATTTTAAAATTATAGTTTACTTGGTTAACCTAACTTTTTTTTAAATTTTGAGACAAATATATGAAATCTATCAGGAAAATTAGCTTACAACCTTAACAGATACAGTTTTTTAACGAAATTCACAGTATTTTGTGGTTTTTGATATTTTATTCGATTCGTCTATAACACACGAAAAGATAAATCGTATTAAAATGGCGGAGTTGCCTAAGGCAACCTTTAAAATACCAATATAATGCATAAGAAGCTGTAACCGACCTTTGGGTCACCTATGTTAACCTTTGGTTCAATTGACACCTGCCTTGACGAAATAGGACCTTTGAACCGTACCGACATCTAGGAGGTAAATAAGAAAATTCGTGCTCGTTTTTACCTAGGAACAATAAAATAAAAAAGAAAGCTGGGTCGTCTTTTGGTGGTGGTGGTCACATACTCGTTAATAATATCGCTGACATTAGATCAGTATTTCTATTTATTTATAGTTAAAAAAAGCCGTACAGGAAGTATTGTTGATTTTACCACTATTGTTGATTTTACCACTAGTATTCCTTTGTTGTATGGGCTTCAGGTGTACTGTTATTTATTTCTATAGTATTCATTGATGATAAGCTACCACTAGTAGCACTATTATTTTTCAAAATTGAGGTGGACGTTCCTTCGATACATGATTGCGAGGATGTGGATGACGAACCCAAACTCGTTATTTCCACTTCATTTTTCGGACATTGACTTGCTCGCTGACTTTCTTTTAAATAGTTTGTCCTTTTTCTATAAAAAGTTGTAGAGTTTTTATAGTAATTTTTTGGGGTTAGGTGTAGATAGTTCCGCTTCTACAACAAAAATCGATATCGTCGCGCTTGTCGCCGTAATCCAACGTAGTAATTGGTTATAATTTTAAAGTTGCTTTGGGTCGTTTAATGAAACGTTGTATTACGTTGTAGTTAGCATGTACTCGTAATTTAAAAGTACGTTGCACAACGTTGTACTACGTTTGTTATTCTGTAATAAAATAAACGTGCCTTCTGGCGACGTAATGACAACGGTATAAAACCCAACTTCTAACAACGTTGTACCCTACAACGTTCACCAACGTTGTTAAGGGTCAAAATATACAACTGTTTAAGTGCAACGTCGTAGCGACGTTTTGGCTACGTAATTTGAGGTTTGGGTATGCATAGGGCAGGGAAAAGTACCAATATCAACGTTGCGCGTAGTCAAAACTAGTCGGAAGTCGGAATTTTGTTACTTGGGTACGTTCAAATTTTTTTCTCTTCTTAAATTTAAGCGTTAAAATTATTAGACATTTGCATAAAAGTGTGTATTTTGGCTGGTATTCCACAAAATTTACAGGTTATTGATAAAACAGAAAATGTACAGATTACAGAAATAAATTAAAAACAATATTTATATTAAAACAGCATTATATCATGACACTTTTTAAAATATGTCCTTCAAATCCTTCAATTTAATAGCTGTTAGTAAGAAGTTTCAGTTCAAATCTGCGCACAAACTGTTTTTCAAATATTTTTTTACAAAAATAAAGATTTAAATATCATGGACTGTATAAGAAGTGATCTGGTCAATGGAACATACAATTATGAGAACTATTGTA